AGCTACTTTATAAATTCATCGCCACGCAGCACCATCTGTTGACATTTTCATGAACCATTCTAAAAAAAATCCAACTCTAACGCCATCTGTATATTTTCAACAAGTTCTCAGGTGACCGTTTTCTACTGAAAATGAAAGCTGTGAGTAGATGGTACAAGAACTAGATAATAGATGGCGGTACGCAACAATTTTAAGAAGTTTTTGGACGGCAGAATTGGCAGTCTTTATTGGAGCCACACACACACCACCAAAACCAAAACCAGGCTGGTGCGGACCCTGGTCTTTTCGATCTTCTGTTACGGCGCGGAGACATGGTCTCTTAGGGCAGCGGACCGCAAACGAATTGACGCCTTTGAGATGTGGTGTTGGAGGAGGATGCTCCGTATTCCCTGGACGGCATTTCGAACCAACGTCTCAATTCTGCGTGAACTCAAGATCTCCTCACGACTGTCATCCGTGTGCCTTCGTAGAGTCCTTGAATACTTCGGTCACATTGCAAGAAAAGAGGGAAACAACCTGGAGAGACTCATTGTGACCGGAAAAATGGAGGGGAAAAGGCCTCGTGGTCGCAGCCCGATACGTTGGTCCGATCAGATCCGCACCACTTTGGACTCTACCATCCACGGCGCCCTTCACACCGCCAGAGACAGAATTGGATGGAGGAAGATCGTACGGGAGAAGGTGATACCGAAGGGAGGTCACGACCCTCAGCAATGAGGAATGCGAAGTAAGGAGGAGGAGGATTGGAGCCACTTGACCGACAAAATAGTCCTTAGTTAAAGGAAGTAAGTGGTTCAAATAAATTGATAGATTTCGTTATGTTGGCTACAGTACAATTTGAATAATTGAAATCGACGGGCGGGTATCAACACTGGCGATCACAATAACGTTAGCTTGTTTAGATAGCCACCTGGCTAAATATGTGATTCAATATCTGTAACTTCTGTTCTCGACAGTATTGAGCATAGGTATAAGAAACTAAATAATTATAGTTGCACAATTTTACTTCTGTATCCGTGGTGGTCTATTGACTCGAGTCTATTAAGAAGACCACCACAGATGGGGCCTAACAGGGTTGATGTTTAACTGGGGTTGCAGGTACAGGCGAAATTATGTACAGCGGCCTCGTCCTGAGCAGAAGAAGGCCTTTAGTCAGTAAAAGTCAGAAGACAAACTTTCGCCCCACCCAGGTCATGTGAATTCATTTGAAGATTTTCTCTTTCTCTTCTCTCAAAATTATTTTATTGACCCGGGTATAATAAAAGGAAATGCTGGCAATATTTTGTTAATATTTTTTTTTTGTTTTAGAACCTTCTTATTTAAAAAGAGTGGTATTTTGTTATTGAATTTAATGATAGAAAATTGGGTATCCGGCAACCTTTTTTTTGTGATGGGATTGGCGGAGGGGAGTGTCAGACTCTTGCTGACTAAATACTCCTTACGTTCCTTCTCCTGCTCTAGGCCTAGTCGCGGTGCCTCATTGCGCTTACCCTGCAACCCCGGCTGAAACTGCAATAGGTTAAACAGAAAAAAAACTAGCAAACATTTTATTAAACTGTTTCATTTATTATGAAAATTTTAAATACAATGTAAAGTAAATCACTTACACATAAAACGTTCACAAAACACTTTGGTATTTAATATATATTAAGTAATATTTACAAACATTCTATACACACAACTTTTGTACAAAACTACATATATGTATATACCTACAAAGATATATTTTTCACAAAAAAACTGTTTTTAAAAATATCGACTTACTCATGTCAATGAACCGAGAAAAGCTCTAATAGTTTCAACTCAAACCGGGACTCTTATTCATGTAAAATACCTTTGCCGGCACAGGGGCGCTAGGCGTGCAAACTCGAGTAGTCTCGTGCGCGACGTCGTCGCCGCGACGCGCCCGCTGCTCATGAATGACTTCAAACGAGTAGACCTTTTCTCAATTTAAAAGAAGAAGAAAAAAGAAAGAAAAAGTATTTATTCGCGTCTAGGACGCACATGAGACACAGAACAAACAAGCATTTAAACACAAGAAAACATGGTAATACAATATATAAAAAGAGTAATATAAGGAAAAGCATGAATCACAAGCACGCGAAATGGCCCTCGCTCAGCATATGCAGCGACGCTATGCGAGACAGTGTCGCAGCGCTAATTTTCAGCGATGGCTGACAACTAACATCTGACGCCAATCGGTGAAGAAAATAAAATTAATAATAGATAAAATAAGAGAATAAAAAGTGATACATACGTATATATGGATAATATACTACTATAAAACAAAATACATAATATGAATGGAGGAAAGAAAAAGTAAAGAAATATAGTAAGTATGTATCATTATCTGATGAGAGTGGCAACACTCTGGACGAATGTAAGTAAGAATTTATTCAAGTAAGTCGTAATTTTCACATTATTATTTTTGTTTCAAAATCAACTGTTTTTTTATTGTTATATCACTGTATAGTAAAACTTACATTATATTATAACTCTTTCAAAATATTGTTTATGTAATGTTTCTCAAAAGTTTTTTTCACACAGGAGATTTCGCAATTCAATAATCCTGCATTACAAACAATTCAATTTTTTTTTCAAATATTTACAAAAATTGTTTAAAAAAGGTTTTATATCTATGACATTTTAAAATCTAACATAATCTTAATCTTAAACTGTAACCAAACATGAAACTTCACAGACAGATTTAAAACTTCGTAGTTTTTTTATACTTATACCTATTTCATTAGAAATTATAAAATTACAGAAACCACTCATACTTCATAATTATACTTATTATTATTACTACTAAAATACATTAAAAATAACGACTCAAATAACTTGGAAAATCGTGTTTAAAAAGTCAATATTTGTTTATGCTAATTAAAGGATCTGTTATTCTCGAGCAACGCGTGCGTTATGGCGGTAGACCTATGAATAAGAGTCCCAATGTGACTTGAGATCAGTAGAGAATTGAATAAGTCGTTATTCTTAATAAATTTAATATGTCTCGCGATAGTTACTATACAAAAATACTAATTATTTATAACCTAAATAACTATCATAAGTATGCAAAAAATATTTTAACAAATGACAATCGATCGTAATGAAATTTTCGAAGTTACTTTCTCATCATCATCATCATCATCATCATTATCATCAGTCTATAAGTGCCCACTGCTGAGCAAAGGACTCTTCTCATACGGAGAACGTTAAAGCATTTTTCACCACGCTTCCTCAATGCGGGTTGGCGATTTCAAACTTATAATTAGAAATTATAAGTCCAGGTTTCCTTACGATGTTTACCTTCACCGTATGTCAGTAGTTTCTAAATAATCATAGAAAGTACATATAACTTGGAAAAAGTCACATTGGTATTTGTCAGGTTTCGAACCCACACCCTCATGCATGAGAAGCGGGTTCCTTAACCTCCGGCCACCACCACATTTTTTAGTAGTTAATGTCTATTAACGTCAAAAACGGTAAGCAATCAGCGCCGCCCATGGACACCCGCAACAGAGGAGTTACGAGTGCGTTGCCGACCGTTTAGGGATTAGGGATTTGGAGATTTAGGGATTGAAGAGGGATTGGGGGAGGAGAAGGGTTGGGCCTCCGGTAACCTCACTCACACGGCGAAACACAACGCTGTGGTTGTTTCACACCGGTTTTCTGTGAGGCCGTGGCATCATAATGATTCCCCAGATAGCTTTTATCTAACCATTGAAAAATCAGCAGCCCTAAGCTATAATATTATTTACGGTTTAAAAGTACTTGTATAATATGGTTTTGTTGAAATTTGGAAATATCAGAGACCAGACGACTATAGTATACAAGTGTGTCCCTTCGGTAGGAAGGAAAGGGGTATTGGCCTCAGGCACACGCCTTAACATTAAATTAATATACAGAATTCACGATTTTTTATAACGTAACATAATTTTATATGGGTGAAGACGGTTTACTGTATAAGGTGAAAAGGTTTGGGAAGGAAAAAATAGTTTTCGTGACAAACCTCTTTTCCTTTGATAATGATGTGGTTTTCATTGATGTGATTTTCTTTTTATGAAACGTTTATATTAATAGCTGCTATATAACATATCCAGGATAAATATACGACTTAATGTATATCCATAGAGTAGATAGTAGTCGGCGTTGTGTGAACTACCTACAGGTCATTGACCTCGCTTAGTTGACGTTTTCTTACTGAAATTTCGTGCATGCATAACTCACTAAAAATGTAATTAATTATTTGATTTTTATTCTTTCCAAATCGATTACTGGATTGACCCTCCACGGCATTACAACTATCAAAATTTTATTACGGTGAGTTTATTTTTTTCGTGTTGAACCGGGAGCTTCAAGGATCCCGTTTCTAATGCATGAGGGTCCAAAAGCTGACAAGAACTTGTGTGATATTTTCTGAGTTATGTGAAAATTCTAAGAATATTTCGATAGCACTGAAAAACACGCCACGCCACGTGAAAGAAAACGCCAGGAACCGGAACTTTTAACTTCTAAATATAAATTTGAAATAGCAAATCTGTCTTGAGCTAGCGTGGTGATTGATGCTCAAACTTTTTCCGAGTAAAAAGAGGCCTTTGCTCAGCAGTGGACAGTTAAGGCTAATGATGTGATGTATTTTAATTCTAAATTGAAAAACTTAATAACTATACATACGACTTTTAATTAATATTTATTGATAATAACGACTTATTCACATAAATTAATTTAGAATAGCTCAACTAGTTTCAAGTCACGGCGGGACTCTTATTCGTGAGCAGCGTTCGCGTCGCGGCGACGTCGCCCAGCCCGCGCTATGACTTGAATCTACTATACGGCCGTCGTGTCTTATCGAGTCTGAAGTTACCCGTTTGTCTGCGCGATGGATCTTTTAGGAACAAAATTGTGTACTGCGCAGCTAATCGGCTAACTTCAGACTCGCCAAGATAAGTCGGCAGTAATGTAGTAGACCTTTTCTTAGTTAATTCAAGTGAGTAAGTCGATATTATCAATTAATTTAGTATGTCTCACTATTTATACTTACTGTTATAATTACTTATACATAATGTAGAATTTAAATTATTATCCACTTAAAATTACTTTAATGACCAAATAAATAAAGAATTATGTTAGTATATACCTGTCCTTATAACTATTGTGAATAAAGGTAGTGTTACACACGTTTCGACCTTGGGCCTTCGTGTCGAAGGTCATAAGGTCGCAAGGTCGCTTTTTTGAGGTCGTGATACGGGTCAACGTTGTGAAGGTTTCTAAATCGCTGGCTGTAGAGCAGCAGAACGCCCGACGGAATTCACGACGGAATTTTCCTGAAAAATTAAAATGAAATATTTTATTAGAAAAAAATTCTCAAATCCAGTGTTTAGCAATTTTGGCGGCCAGTTGGGCTGATAATAATTATGACATGTATGTTTAGTTTTAGTTATACATATGTATAAGAATATTGCAACTTAATTTTGAAGTAGAAAAGAAAAGTACTGATTGAGCTGAAATTAAGTGCACCACACACACACACACACACACACACACACACACACACACACACACACACACACACACACACACACACACACACACACACACCCACACACACACACCCACACACACACACACACACACACACACACACACACACACACACACACACACACACACACACACACACACACACACACACACACACACACACACACACACACACACACACACACACACACACACACACACACACACACACATACCTAACTTTTATTAGGAGAATATAATTTAACTAAAATTCGCGGGTTACTCACGTGCAAATGTTGAGAAAAGCTCTACTAGTTTCGAACCACAGAGGGGTTCTTCCTCATGAGCAGCGTACGCGGACGCGGCGACGTCGCGCAGCCTACTTCTCAACATTTGCACGTGAGTAACCCGCGAATTTTAGTTAATTTAGTATGTCTCACGATAGTTATTATAAAAACAGAATATAATTTGTTAAGAAATATAAAATAGAATTATCTAGAATTATCTTTGTGGAGGAGTGAAGTCAAAAAGTAATTCCAATCATCAATTAATGTACTAAAACGTCGTTTTATGGAAATGCTAGTAGGTACTATAAAAACTTGTGTTTAAAAACATTTCTATTTGTATTATTATATTCTATCTCTCCTCTCTTCTCTCTTTATATCTTTCTCTGTTTTGGTAAGTAACTCACCACTCATGAAGTTGTAGATCAAAGGATTGATGGCAGAATTAGCGTAGCACATCACATGGGAGATCAGAGCAAGACAGGTGATCACATCTGATTGTTCCATGTCAAGGGTGTACCTGTAAGTGGGAAAGAGAAAAGTATAGTTAACATATCATTTAAAAGGACTATAGTTGTTATTCAGTATTCTTGATATTTTATTCGTGTGATCACAGTAACTTGAATCCTAAAAAACTAGGAATATCACAAATTTATGACGGACTACCAGCTATATGTATGTATGAAACTTATAATACATCCAATTCTTATTCCGAAATATGGGAGAGCCATGCTTCCGTGGAGTGATACCACGGCCTCGAAAACCGGCGTGAAACAACCACAGCGTTGTGTTTTGCCGTGTGAGTGTGGTTACCGGAGGCTCAATCTTTCCCCTCCCCCGATCCGACCCCGTTATTTTTTGTCCCGTGAACTTTTTTTACCTTAGAATTATTATTAAAATGTAAAAGTATCAATGGATAGGAAAAAGGTCAGGGGTCAAAAAACCCTTCCATTTTTGAAAACGATTTTATAAACATAAGAATAAGGTTATTTTTTGCTTGATTGCACAAAAAAATATTAGCCTTCTGTACTTCTCTACTGGAACGAGAACCTAGTTATACTGAAGGAAAGATTTCTTTTTTTTGTCGTTTCAAAATGTTGAACTTTTAAGTTTTTGTATTAGACTAGGTACCGACTACAAAAACAATAAAATCTTCTGTTATAGCCTGTAACAAATTCAATTGGGACTTAATTAATTAATAATAACAATTTTGTACGTAGGTACTTCTCATTATAACTTTTCAAATTCAGAAAAATATTTCTTTTTATCAATTTTGTGTCACTACCTACTTAAATGTTGTATTACAAAGAGTGAAAGAAAAAAAAAATGTGTATTTGTAATAGCGATCAAAATGTTTATTATTTGTTTTAATGTTGTTTAGTTATTTTTATTAAATTGTTGTCAATAATAAAAATCGTCTCCAATTTAACACAAGAAGTTTTTTTAATTAAGCACAAACTTTATTCGGTATATTTTTCAGGTAATAAAGGTTCATTGTAGTATAGAAAAGTCAAAATAATTTATTTTTCACCTTGGAAACTACTCAATTTGCTGGTCATAGTTAAAAGCTACCTACACATTTTTTATATGTTATAGGTCAGCAAACGATCAGACGGATTACCTGGTGGCAAGCAATCAGCACTACCCATGGACACTCGCAATAATGGAGGAGTTACGAGTGCGTTGCCGAACTTTTGGCGGTTAGGGATTAGGAGACTTCAGTATTGGGGAGGGATTGAAGGAGAGAAAGGATTAGGCCTCCGGTTATCTCACTCACGTGGCAAAACACAACGCTGTGGTTAATTGGACTGCACGGTTGGTTGGCTTTGGCTTAATTGGCTGGGCAATTGGCTGTTGTACAACGTGTCGCGGTTTCGATTCTCGCACGGAACAACTCTTTGTGTGACCCACAAATTGTTGTCCGGGTCTGGCTGTCATGTGCATGTTAAATTGTATATTTGTAAACGCACCCACGACACAGGAGAAAATTCTAGTGTGGGGCAACGTTTTTTTTAAAAGACGAAATACGTAGACGAAATATGATTCACGCGGGGTTTTTGTGAAGCTGAGGTATAATTCCGGTCTAACCGGCTCATTCGTGCCGAAGTTTAGCTCTCCCACACATCATCGTCATCATCAGCCTGTTGTCGTCCACTGCTGGACATAGGCCTCCCCAATTGCACACCACTGAGCTTGATGTTCAGCTCTTCTCATCCAACCACTGCCAGCCACCCTGCGGATGTCGTCAGTCCACCTAGCTGGAGGGCGCCCTACACTACGTTTGCCTAGACGTGGTCGTGACCTCCCACACATATATTAATTAAATTCTATGTTCATATAACACTTGTACCTCCAATCCCCTATTCCAAGATTGTTATAAGTAAGACATTTGAACACAACTTTGTTCAACGAAAGTTTCCTAACATTTCCATCGCACTCCAAACTCGGAAGCGAGTTCGAAACTTGATTGGTTACTAAATTTACACTCACCGAGTTAGTATGTAAATCTCTAGTTGTTTTTGCAATCTACAAGTTTCTTAGTATTAAAAGTTTGCGTTGCTAGAACTTGATATAATTGGACAAAGAAAAGCGACTTTATTTTATACTACGTTAAAAGAAAGTCGCTTTCTTTGTCCCTATATCCCTATGTAGGGTAAACTCAATGAAACAATGAAACAATGAAACAATGAATTTATTTTTGCAAATAGGCCTTAAAACGGCACTTTTACACGTCAAATTATATGTGAAAAACTAGATGAAGGAAGCTCATCTTATTAATTTAATAGAATGCGCGGTTTGGTGAAGTGGCTGGGCAACTGGCTGAACGTGTCGCGGATTCGTTTGTTTCCGGTCTAAGTCACACAACTAGGTGAGTTTATTCAATGCTAAAATCACTAAAAACACACAACGAAATTTAATGCGGTTCTTTATAGATAGAGTGATTGGAGTGGAACTTTTATATGTATAACTAGCTACTCTCGCGCGGTTTCACCCGCTGCTCGACTCCATTTTATCGTAGCGTGATGTTTTATAGCCTATAGCACTCAGAAGCATTGTAGCTGTGTGTGTATCAGTGGAAGAATTTAAGCAATCCGAGCAGCGCTTAAAAGCAAAAGCAGCTTAGTGTGGAAATTTTCAGTTATTTTCACAATAAACATCCTTCTATCCATACAGACTTACAATCTTTCACGTGTTTGTGACGTTTGCGTAATATTTTCTGTGACACATATTATTTAATTAATTAAGTAATATGTTTTGCGCCTTTCTCCCAGTTTCGCCGCGTTGTGTATATCACGCAAAGTTACTTATGAATATTTGAATAGAATGTTATATTATTTATTTGCTAAGAATGTAGATCATTATAATAGAAAATGCAATTTAGTTTTACAATACTTTTGATCCTTGTATATTCTGCTTCATAACATGCAAAATTTTGGTAATTTTTGCAATTTTTAGTTTGGTTTCCTAGTTCAAATTCAACCCTATTCCGTGTCTATTCACCCCTCGAATTCTATTCACCCCGTTTTACCGAATTAAAATGAATGAGTACTTAATATAATTATGAGAACATTCAATGTAAATTTATTAGATTTAATTATAAATTAAATCTGACACAGCGTAGTAGAATTTTTGAAATAATTATTTCTTCAGTTATGTTTTAAATATTTTTACACATTTTCTTAATGAAGTCATAAAGCAAATGTTATTTTAAAACATAAATTGGTAACTTTGAAAAAATCTTGCCTAGCAAATTTTCACCTATTTCAGATTAACAAACATAGAAATTGTCACATACAAGCCACCCAGATACGAAGCCGCAGTATGTAGATCATATTAATTCACATACACAAGTCGACCAAATTCATGGATCACGCAAAGTTTTGTTCCGTGCTGGAACGAACACGCAACACGTTGTACAAGAGCCTACTGCCCAGCCACTGCGCCACCCGTGCAGTTATAATAACTATATCTACTTGTCCCTTTTGTATGGGATAGATCAGCAAACGAGTCGACGGATTACTAGACGGTAAGCAATCTGCTCCCATGGACACCCACAACACCGAAGAAGTTACGAGTACGTTGCCTGCCTTTTGTTAAAGATTGGGAAGGGATAGGGGAAGGAGAAGGGATTGGGCACTCGGTAACCTCACTCACACAGCGAAACACAACGCTGTGGTTGTTTTACGCCGGTTTTCTGCGAGGCCGTGGTATCACTCCGGTCAAGCAGACCTATTCGTGCCGAAGCTTGTCGTAGAACATTTTCTCCTTTTCCGTAATTACAATCAAGAAAAAAAAACACCAACGTGCAGATCATAGCAATTTACAAACATACACTAGCCGATCAAATATAAATATGGATCACGCAAAGTGTGTCCCTCATAAAAATACTTAGCACGTATACAGAACGTTATAAAAACCATGTGTAATCCGAAAGGATTATCTGCCTGCGTCGAGTACAAAATTTGTAATCGGTACTAAATCTGGGAAATCCTTTTCATGTGGATTTAGAGCATTTACCTCTTTTTATGTAAGTACTACTGTTACAGCAATCAAAACCACATTTTGTTTAAATGAAAATTCTTCTGAAAATAATTCCAGTTAGCACAAGTTATTAGTTAAACAATTTGTTAGTCATTTTAATCTATACTTCTATTCTAATATTATAAAGAGGTAAAATTTGTAAGTTTTTATGTAGGGGGTAATCTTTGGAACCGCTGGTCGGATTGCCAAAATTATTTCACTGATAGATAGCTCCAATGTTCGTCAATGTTTTATGAGCTATAAAACATCACGCTACTATAATTGGAGCTGAGCAGCGGGTGAAACTGCCTTTCTTGCCTTTCATGGCCTCTGCGCACTGTGTGGCCATGAAATACTGGAAAAACTGTTTGTCGTTGGGAACACCGAAGGCAATCGATCGCGTGGTAGTTCACCAGCCAGATGAACGGATCAAGTGAAATATTCATCGTCCTCCGAATTATTCACGGTAGTGGGAGCATCGGATCGAAACCGGTGGAGGCGGATCATCCGCTCAAAATGTTATTACTCCTACGCTGACCACGGTCCTAAGATATGAGGAACCGGCTATAAGAAGAAAGAACCTACGTGTAATAAAGTTAAAAGAAACATTTATAATAAGTTAATAAACCAATTAGCTTCAAGCCATATATATTTTGTAGTACGCTTTTTATAATGCCATTATATATATAAATAACAAAAAAATATTTTGGGATTTTGAATAGGGTTGACCGTCTTATAGGATCGGAGATCCGTCATACACATCTGGCACCCTTGAAAGGCGACCCAAAGTTATTTGAAAAAGGAATAAATTAAATTTAGAAAAAATATTTCCTTATTTTTGTTATTTTTTGGCCAACTTTTAGAGAATGAATAAAAATCACAGCTATACTTAATATTACAAAGAGGTAAAATTTGTAAGTTTATATGTAGGGGGTAATATTTGGAACTGCTTGTCGTATTTTCTAAGAGCTGTAAATACTTGATTTGCGTACTTTTGTC